TTTATTTGTATTTTTAGATCAATTTCACGCTTAAAGCCGATATGGAGTCCAAGAAGTTATTCATCGGTGTCTTCGGCGGCGCTCTCATTGAATCGTAACCTCAAAGTTGGCCACACTTTACACGGATATGAAGTGCAGACCATTGAAGACATACCGGAGCTGTGTTTGAGCGCATATCTGTTGAGTCACGAGAAGAGCGGTTCCCAACACTTGCATATACACAGAGAGGACAACAATAATCTGTTTGGTGTGTCGTTGAGAACCACTCCGAGTGACAGTACAGGTGTGGCCCATATTCTGGAGCATTTGGCACTTTGCGGTTCCCATAAGTATCCGTGTCGGGACCCCTTCTTCAAGATGTTAAACAGATCTTTGGCCACATTTATGAACGCCTTCACGAGTCCTGACAACACTTTCTATCCGTTTTCCACACAAAACAACAAAGATTTCTATAATCTGTTGAGTATTTATTTGGACGCAGTCTTCTTCCCGAAACTACAGCGCCTGGACTTCGGTCAGGAGGGCTGGCGTCTGGAGCACAACACCATCAATGATCGGTTGAGACTTAATCAGAAGTTTCCTCAACAGAAATTACTTTACTTTCCTCAAAAACACTCAGAAAAACAAACCATAAATTAAAACCTAAATTAATTTGATAAATAGTTTGAGAATTTCAGCTCAGGTTCGGCCATATATTCCAGAGGTCTTCAAAACCATTTATTGCCAAACACTACGTATGGCAACGAATCGGGTGGCGATCCTCTTGTCATCCCTGATCTTACGTATGAAAAACTACAAGAGTTTCATTCACGACATTATCATCCGAGTAATGCCAGGTATTGTCATCGCATCCAATGATTTTAACCATATTTTATAACATTAATTGTATAAACTGTTTCAGGTTTTTTACTTATGGCAACTTTCCTTTGGAGTCTCACTTGGCTTTCATTAATGAATACGTTTTGAGTCGTTTTACATTTAATGAAGACTATAAGAAGTGCAGTGAAATATCAGAACAATCCAAATGGTCTAAACCGGTCCACAAATCAATTGAATCACAACCCGACCCTTTGGCCCCCTTTGCAGACAAACAAACCACAGTTAGCGTCAGTTTTCTGTTGGAAAACATTACAAATACTCACGAAAACTTCACGCTCGCCATCCTTTGCTCACTTCTGATGGATGGCCCGAACGCTCCCTTATATCAGGCGCTTATAGACTCGGGTTTGGGCTCTGACTTCAGCCCTAACAGTGGTTTTTCAAATTACACGAAACAATCATTCTTTTCGATCGGATTGCAAGGAATCGCCAAAAATCAAGTGAATTTTGTGATGAAAGCGGTGGACACCGCCCTTAAGAACGCGGCCAGTGATGGCTTTCCCGATGAAAGAATTGAAGCCATTCTGCATAGAGTGGAGTTGAGTACAAAACATCAAACCAGTAATTATGGACTCGGATTGGCTATGAANAGCAATACCTTTTAGCCACTTCTTCGATGTCCCCTTTGCTGACATCGAGTAAACGCATTCTATAGTCGTGTTTCATTTGATCATCGATTCCATTGACGAAGAATTCCAATCCCTGTTCACTGGGCATAATCGGGTGATCCACTTCTTGAAATATCGATAGCTTCGCCTCATCGATGTCCTGATCGTTGTAATGGTTTCCGTCGGTCAGCCATTCGGCCGAACCATTGAAGGCGTCAATTGTTTGGTCAATGTTTGGATCGCGATATGAATAGTAAGTGTAAACACCGCCTGACGTTAGTTTAGAGCCGCCTCCGTATGCGCCGCCCTTTTCACGGATTTCTCGGTGAAGATATTTCGTCGAAACCAGTTTTGAGGCGATTTTGAGTTTCGCGTAATCTTTATGAGCAAAAGGCGCACAAAATACTGATTTCGCCAAATAGTTATTAGCGAAGGGATAGACGTGGTGTTCATTCACGTGATCAATGCCTGGAATGTCACTATTTGGTGACTCTTCCGTCTGATGAGTGGTTTCAGGCTTTTGTTTAATGGAGTGAATGAATCGTTCAATTGTCTGAAGCGATGACCGAATAGTAGGCGCCTCCGCATTGATTGAACACCGGATGGAATCGGAGTTCAATAGAAGGGTTGCAATACTTTTTAAATGGTCGACAACTGGTTTGCAATCTTCTAAAGAAGCCAATGAACGGAAATGCGAAACCGATGACAAACCACTCGTCAGTTCTCTGAACTTATAGGAACCGCCCAATGAAGCGGACGACCGCTGCATTGCATACTTGTGTCCGTAATGGGGAAGACTCTGCGCCAACTCCGCCGAACACATACGGATCAGTTGAGACAAGTGGTCGTAATCGTCGTCGAATCGGATTCTGTTGAATATATCGGTCCATAACTTAAACATTTGCTCAACATTTCTGTCTAAACAATGCGATGAAATGATGAGTCCTTTTTCGTAGAGATCAAACTCCGAGGGATGGTCTGACACATGCACTGACATTTGGAGGCCTCCGGTTCTCATTTGAATTTCTTGGTCCAATTGTTTTCGATCCAATTCTCCGGCGCCTAATTTGGTCACCAATTGACTGAAAACCGGTAGATATGGCACCAAATGTCGCGGAAATGCTTTCGGTTTGGGTTTCATAATAGCGTTGAAATATGTGATGCCATTCGTCGGCTGAGCTGCCCATTGAATGCCGGCGTTTAATATTTTGGTGGTCTCTATATTCGTGGCATTAAAATTACGGGAAATATCTTTCTTAACGCTAAGTGTGGGCAATACAGAGGCGTCGTCTTTATTCTTCTGCATTCTTTCCAATTCCAATCCGTTTTCATAAATCTCTTTCAAATCCCTTTCAGTCAGTTTAGAGACCTTTTCTTTCAACACTTTTTGCTCTTCAATTTTGAGATTATTTTCGTAATCCTTCGACGGATTCATCTCTAATACTAATCGATGAGTATTTGAAATGAAATATTCTTTGATTTTATTCCTCAAGAATTTGGGGTTTTCTTTCATTTGCTGTCGAAATCGATTGACGTGTTCATTGACACGAAGACCGGCGATGGGGTTGTCGTCGTGCATCCAAATGGTGTTCACATTCATAGCCAATCCGAGTCCATAATTACTGGTTTGATGTTTTGTACTCAACTCCACTCTATGCAGAATGGCTTCAATTCTTTCATCGGGAAAGCCATCACTGGCCGCGTTCTTCAGAGCCGTGTCCACCGCTTTCATCACAAAATTCACTTGATTTTTGGCAATTCCTTGCAATCCAATGGAAAAGAATGATTGTTTCGTGTAATTTGAAAAACCACTGTTAGGGCTGAAGTCAGAGCCCAAACCCGAGTCTATAAGCGCCTGATATAAGGGAGCGTTCGGGCCATCCATGAGAAGTGAGCAAAGGATGGCGAGCGTGAAGTTTTCGTGAGTATTTGTAATGTTTTCCAACAGAAAACTGACGCTAACTGTGGTTTGTTTGTCTGCAAAGGGGGCCAAAGGGTCGGGTTGTGATTCAAT